AACTCCAGTTTCTGATTAACAGTAACCATTTGGATTTCCATTTGGCTTTGGCATATATAGTTAGGAAATAGTATAATTTTCTATGGAAGATTTATTAGTCAAAACTAGGCATGGCAGGTAGCACATACCTTTAATCTCAGCACTCAGGGGACAGAGGCAAGCAGACCTGTAAATCTGAGGCTGGTCTCATCTACAAAGTGAATTCCAAGCCAGCCAAGGTTACACACACACAAAAAAAAATCTTTCCTCAAAAAAAAAAAAAAAGTTAAAAGATCTACTAGTCAAACAGAAACATAACAATGGATTTTTTACCTTTAGGGGGAAAAATCACATCATTAAACAACTTCTAATATTTTCCATTACTATTGCTGTACAATTGCTGTACAGTATTTTTGGCTTATACCTATCCAAAACCAATGGTAACACACCTGAACTAAGGCCCTTAAGAGTGAGTCAGTACAGAAGTTACTTCAAACACGTTCATGAGGACGTACAGGATAACAAGAGGGGGCTGTCAGCATGTCAGAAACTAAAAGCCAGGGTTCGTTCACTGAGGTAAAGATGTGATTTCATGTTTTCCGGTCAGACTTGAGAAGCCAGTAAAAAAAATGCACAGTCCCCTCCAAGGGTATGAACCCTGAGAGCCCTGTAGCTAGCCTGTGTTTCTGGATTGTCTACATAGCACCTGCCCAGGGACCTCAAGACACTGAGGACCCGAAGTGAAACCGGAGCCCACAGCTGGCATCGTGTGATGGCCCCCAGTGGGTAAGCAGCATCCGCTCACTGCACAAGGACGGAGGGGCCCTCCCTGCTGCCCCTCTGCTATCCCTCGGACACCTGCCGCACCCTGCCCCATCTCTGGCCTCTCTGAGAGAAAGAGCAGCACTTTCTACCTTTCTAACTGTGGGGGCCTGAAGGTGCTTCCTTTACTTGCTTGCAGGCCTGACAACATGAGTTGAACCCCTGGGACTCACATGGCAGGAGATAAACAACTCCCGAGAGCTGTCTTCTGAACTCCATGAATGTACATCCATGTGTACATCCATGTGTGTACAGTGGCCCGCAGAGGCGCATACACACACAGATAAATAAAACACAATTTTCAGCAGGGTGGTGGTGGCGCACGCCTTTAATCCCAGCACTCGGGAGGCAGAGGCAGGCGGATCTCTGTGAGTTCGAGGCCGAGCTGGACCGACAGCCTCCAAAATAATACAGAGAAACCCTGTCTCGTAAAAACAAAAACAAAAAACCCCACAATTTTTAAAAAGCCCCGCCCTAATACCCCCCAAAGTGTTCACTCTGTGTCACCACAGGAGGGGCCTCCCTGCTCTTCCAACACTCTAGGCTGACTCCCGTCTGGAGGCTCTGTGCCAGCTGCTCCCCTGCCTCCCACTCTCCACGCACACTAACTTCTCAATGAATCTCCTCCCACCCCCTTCTAAGAGCACAACCGTTGTCTAGCTACACAAAGGGAGCTTCCTGACTTTTCAAGGCTGCATCCCGTGATTGCAACAGCATATGACATCAATAAAGCATGCAACTGATACAAGTGGAATTACCACATATATCACAAGTAAATGTGATTTATTGACATTATATTACGTGACTTTCTAATAAATACAGACCTAAGACACAGGATCACCAGTATGAACTACAGGTCTAACTGTGAATAATTCGAGACTGTGGTCCACTCCTTAAGAAAAAATGTGCAGGTGGGCCATCAAAGCTTTGCACAACTAACAAGTTCCATATGGGAAAAGGCATGCTTCCTACATCCACGTTTTGATTTTACTGACAGCCTTGAGACTCTACGGGAAGGGCCCTGACAAACCTGTCGGTGGCTTATTCAACACTTATGGCTACTTCCAGGCACGTCCGATGCATGCTGCCCCTGCACTTCCTTTTCTATGCCCCATTCTAATTGCAAGGCAAGAAGAATAGTGATCACTGATAAAGGAGGTTTCCTTGAGCTTTTATACTAAAAAAAGTGCTGGCCAGGAGCCTAAGGCGGCAGCAGTCACCTGTATTCCCAGCCCTGGGGAGGCTGAGACAAAGGATCACCTGCACCATAAAGATACCTGCCTCAAAAAGTAACGTCAAAGGTTCCAGCACCAGGCAGGCGATGCCCTCTTAGCCAGCAAGAGGAAAGGCAGCCCAAGACACAAAGGGGAAGGAGGCTGCGCCCGGGAGCTGTGCTCGGCTCCAGTGAGAGACCCTGCCGGTGCTCCTCTCGCCCAGCCCTCCCAGAGTGCTGCTCCTCCACTCCAGAAGCCTCTCAGCGCCTGCCAAGCCATGTCAGGAGCAGCCGCCCAATGAGACAGATCATCCACTGGGTACAGTTTTTACAAGTACTAACTGCTCCTGGTCTTCATGAGAGCACTGGGAGGCACAGACAGGCAACTGAGGCTCAAGCTACACGAGCCCTGAGAAACAGCCGTCTGAATGTTTTGACGCATAGCTCACTTCCAGAGCAGGCATGCCAGTGCCACCGGGATTAGTCAACTAGGAAGCACAACAGTCACAACTCATGCTCCAAAAGCAACATTCGGGGTAAAGGGTAAGCCACTGGAAGGCACAAATAGAACAAACAGGACCCTGTGGGAAGGCAGACAGGCAGAGCACACAGTCAGCACCTGCAGCTCCTGGAGCCAGGCTGAGTCACTATTTGTCTATTAAGAACTCACATGGGGTGGGGGATGACACACCACACTTTGTGATGCATTTCAATGCTCCTAAAGGTCTTCCTTTATACACTGTGACAGGGCTTCTGAGGAAGAAAGGTGAGTGTAGCTCGCAGCTCGGGAGGCTCAAAAGCCAACAGCACAGCGCCATCCAGGGCAGTGCACCTCTGAGTCCCCTGGTAGGAGGGAGGACAAGCAGGAAGCATGGAGAGGACCTCCATCTGTGACAACGCCCTGGAGGTAACAACCCAGTCCTTCCAGAGCTGCAGCTCACTCAAGGACAGCATTAATCGTACTCACCAGCCCAGCAACTCTAAAGGCCACACTCCTGCCACTATTGTACTGAGGAAGAAACTTTGCTGGGGACAAAGCCCATCCAAACTATTTCAGACTCCTTTTCCCAGGAAGACTGTTAAAGGAGGGGGAAGGTAGGGAGAGACAAAATGCCAACAGGAGAAAAAACCCAAACGCTTAGTGTTTTCCTCTGAGTCTGCTTACCAGTGGGGAAGAACCCCTACCGCCCTAACTACCCTGGTAGTGTAAGAATAAACCATAAAAAAGGAGGGGCTGGAGACACGGCTCAGCAGGTAAAGGGCGCTGGCTGCTCTCTCGGGAACCAGGTTCAATTCCCAGCACCCACATGGCAGCTCACACCTGTCTGTAACTCCAGTTCCAGGGGGTCCAACACCCTCACACAGACATACACGCAGAGAAAATACCAATGTACATGACATGAAAATAAATAAATCATTAAAAATAAAAACCTTAAGAAAAAAGCATTTTAGAAACAGCCAATACTGCTCTAGGGGAAAAGTATAATGCTGGGCTAGTGGGATGCTCAGGGGGAAATGGCATTTCCTGCCAACACTAAATACCTAAGCTCTATTTACAGGTCTGGCATGGTGGAAGGAGAGCACACTCCTCTTACCCGCACAGGCTAAGAGTCATGATTGCCAGCATGCATGTATACACACGCCCATACCCTCAAAATAAATGAGTGAATGCAATAAAGTTTTCAGATATAATGTTACATCTGTGGGTCTGCTTAACAGACACATTTTAAAACTAATTTATAAGTTAGTTTTTCCACAAAGAACAAACCCACAGATTCCAAAACTCATCAACAGAAATCATTTTCCAGACTAGTGTTGGCAACAGAAAGCCTGTTTAGTCTATTATGTACAAAAGCCATGGGAATAGTCCAACTACCTCAATCAGAATTCCAATGAGGAAAGCCAAGTCAAAATTCTAAACTGCAGCATTCAGAAGCATTTCCCAGCCCAGCATGTTAGTGTGTGGTAGCATCTCAACACTTGGGAGGCTGGGGCAAGAGGACTGTGAGTTCAAGGACACCCTGGGCTACCAAATCAAACCACGGAGAACAAGACAGGCCTGGCAGCACATGCCTGTAATCCCAGCACTCAGGTAGACAGGAGGACTCCTGCAAGCTGGACAAAGATCGCTCTACAAATCGAGTTCCAGGACAACCAGGGCTACCTATTGAGACCCTCGCTCAAAAACAAACAAACACACACACACAATGTAGGGAACAGCGCATGCCCCAGTGATTCGCTAACTTCCTGTGTCTCAGTTCTCTAACTGTCCTGACTGGAGAACAAAGGTGTTTGCCCTCCACCATTAGAGACAAAGCTATGTGGGTCTAGTTCTGTCTTCTGAGACCTCAGAGGTGTGACTTGAAGAACCCAATAATATAGGTAACATAAAAGGTAAGGCTTGGCCGGGCAGTGGTGGCACACACCTTTAGTTCCAGCATTCAGGAGGCAGAGGCAGGCGGATCTCTGAGATCTAGGCCAGCCTGGTCGACAGAGCGAGTTCCAGGCCTGCCAGGGCTACACAGAGACACTCTGTTTAGAAAAACAAATGAACAAAAAAACCCCAAACTATTCTAAGCACTTCTGTTTGTGCAGTATTAGGGACTAAACATAAAGTGCATCCCCGCTGAGATGTGTCTCCAGCCTCTCACTAAGTACTTTATTTGGACATTAGTTTCCAACCTAAAAAACAATTAAGGACAAAAATATCAAATGCAGACAAGTCAGCTTAACTTTTTCTTTTGTGTGTGCTGGGAGTGGACCTGAGGCCTCTCAGCACTGAGCTCCGTCTTTCCAACCCTGCTCCATGAACTTCTACCCTACTTGAAACGAAAGCATCAGAACTTGGCAGGCACCAAGCTTTTTACAAGAAGATCATACCAACAGAACGAGGACAAAGGTTATCGCTGCTGCGGTTCAGGGAAACGGGAAAAACGGGGGTCCTCACTGACCCCTGCAATACATTCTGCTATGGATGGTACTCTACCTCAATGTCCTGGAGACTGAATTCCTTCTGATCTGTGAAGTTTGCAGCCCCAGCACTGAGTTCCATGAGCATCTTGGCAATCTCGGGCTTTATGGCTGAGGTCAATCGGCTGGCAGCTTCCATCACGTGCTCCTGCACATCTTTGAGTTGCATGGCGGCCTTCGAGTAGTGTGAGTTCCTGAACACGGTGCTGAAGAGATCTGTGAGGAACGTGCTAGCTCGGCAAAAGACGTTGAGGGCGTCCAGGTACTTGGAGATGCCCTGCTGGATGTCAGCGATGGGAGTGGAGTGGGCCATGGCATGGTGGCAGCTGCCTGCGGCGGTCAGACTGCCCAGTGGGGCAGACGAGGCCGTGGATGCCAGGGGAGAGTGCAGCGCTCGGCCCAGCTCAGGCATTGGGTACTGCTGGTGCTGCTGCAGCTTCTGCTTGGACCCGCCAAGCAGGAAGCGCCGCTTGTAGTCCATCTTACTGGCCTGGGCACTGCAGCAATACATGCGGGGGGAACTGTCCCGGGACCCCTGGCAGCTCAGGGCTCTGAGTCCTTTTTTCCCAAAACTGCAGCTAGGTATAAAAATAGTGGAGTTCTGCAAATCTAAGTTTTAGAAAAGGCATTTCCATGAGGCAGGTGACCATATGATCCAACACAAAGGTGAGAAAAATAACAGGCTTATATAGTTAATATTTTCAATGTAGGTAGGAATTCTGGCAAAAAAATAAAAGTGTGTCTGAAATGCTGTATAACTGTTCAGCATCCTACCCTCAATAAAGATATGCTTTGCTGAGGAAAGTGTTTGCTTATAATTACTTTGTAAGAATATTTTGATACTTACATTTACAACAGCAGAAAAATAACTTAACTTTTAAAATGTAATATAATGTATCTTCTATATACCAAAAAAAAAAAGACCCGACCCTAAGCTGGTCAACAGCATTTAGGTGGCAGGGGTTACTTCACAAGAAGTCCTTCAGGAAGAGACTCTGCAGAATTGACAGAACCTGCCTGTCAAATCCATTTACCTGGAAAGCTGCTTTTCAGTGCTAAAAACTTCCCAATGTCCTGTACGGGGTTTCTGGAAACAAGTTTCCTTCAAGCATGGCATTGTTAACTGTGTGTCGTCTTTCTTCTGTTTGCTGAGGTAGCGGTTTCCTTGTAGCATCAGTAAGAAGTGCTTCCAGACTGGGTTGGCTGCAGTTGTAAAGTCTGAAGTGAGGAAGCACGGACGTGTGCATAAGGCCTCTAAGTCATTTCCTGCAAGGGCAAAGACAAGATGAAGTCAGGGGGACTGTAGGACCAAGAGCAACCCTGAGCACTTCTGCAAGCTTTGTCCTCCACTTGGGTGACTTCACGTCGAGACAGAAGGAGAACAAGGTGGCGAGGCTCCACTGAAAGCGGGAACGAAAGCTCCTCAGGCTGGAGGCTAGAGCCGTGACTCGGCATGCACGAAGCATTGCGTGAGCTCGTGCTAACGGCTCACCTCTGACCCACACCCAGGAGGTAGAGGCAGGAGGATAAGAAGGTGGTAGCGCACACCTTTAACCCCAGCTCTCAGGAGGCAGAGGCAGGCGGATCTGTGAGTTCCAGGCCAACGTGGTCTACAGAGCGAGTTCCAGGACAGCCAGAGCTGTTACACAAAGAAACCCTGTCTGGGGGGAGGGGGATTTATTGTTTAAGGTCGTATCATCAACCTAGTGTGTTCCAGGTCAGCCAGGATTACAGCCTGTCTCAGAAGAAAAAAAGAGAAGTTCCTCCAGTTCTAACAAAGATAATACAACAAATTAAGTCTGACTTCAGACCAACTAATCAGTCTAAAGCTGGTTAACAGCGGTGCTTTGAACAAGGCACGCTCAACATTTGGTATCCCTTTGTTTCCTCTGCAAAGGGTCACAGACCTACAAGAGGACTGGATGACGTGAATGGTTCCTGACATCCATGGCACCCAGGGTCTGATGGTCCCCAAATCTGAGGATGCTGAAGACGAATATGCACACTAGGATAGGATTTCCCACACCTGTGCTCATCCCCACCATATGTTGGGAGCGATCATTGCTATTTAGAACCTCTTGCAAATATTGTCAGTCTTTCTTAAGAATAATCCATCCCGCCGGGCGGTGGTGGCGCACGCCCTTAATCCCAGCACTCAGGAGGCAGAGGCAGGCGGATCTCTGTGAGTTCGAGGCCAGGCTGGACCGACAGCCTCCAAAACAATACAGAGAAACCCTGTCTCGTAAAAACCAAAAAAAAAAAAAAAAAAAAAAAAAAAGAATAATCCATCCCCTCCCCAGCCCCCATGAGTAAAACCTGGGCTCAAAGGAATAGCTGATAGACAGGAATATTCATCATACGATGTCATCTCCAATGACAGGGAGAGGCTTTTAAACACCCCTGGTCCATGAGACCCCCTGACCTAAGACACACATGGGCCCCTCATGGATATCTCCACCCATGGTCTTTTTATTCCATACCTGTAAGGGCCCTAATATAAGTGTGACATCATAAAAAGCCATCTTAATACTCCCACTAAGATCCTAATAACACCTACTGCCTATTCCTCTACCAACTCTCAGACCTACAGTCCAGACCCCTCTCCTTCATCAATAAAAAGGGAGGAAATGTTGGGGACCAGGTCACTGAATCTCTTTCTTGCCCCAAGGCACTCCCCAAAACTCAGGCCCCTTCCCACAGATGGCCCGCTGCACTAGAGACAACCCACCGCTTAACAACAATCCGTGAACACCTGCACCCCCACCCCCACCCCCGCCTCACTTCCCAGCCTCTCCGGGTCTAACAGCCTCCGCCCCATGGCCAATGCCACATCCCCCTACTTAAGCCTGTGCAGAACTCTCATTAAACACAGATCGATCGGAAGGCCTGTCTTGCTGCCCATCTCTCTTGTCTCATTCACTCCAGGTTCCCATGGGCTCGAATCCCGTTGCGCCCTGCTGGACGGGGCAAGCATGCAACGTAACTGAGCTCTGTAACCCCAAGCACAATGCTGCATGCCTGTAACCCCAGCACTCAGGAGGCTGCAGCAGAGGACTGGGCCAGTGTGGGTTGAAGAGCGGGTTTCAGATCAACCAGGGCTGCATGACCAAAGGGGAGAGCAGCCTCTACGTGACTTAGAGTATCCAGGCAATGAGTGCCACGTGGTCAGCTCTAAGACTCTCTTTAATGGTAACAAGTCTAGTGTGTCTTGTACAAATCCAATTTAAAACATCTGCATTTAGCCAGACAGTGGTGGCACGTACATTTAATCCCAGCCCTCAGGAGACAGAGGCAGGCAGATCTCTTTGAGGCCAGCCTGGTCTACACAGCAAGTTTCAAGACAGCCAGGGCTAAACAGAGAAACCCTGTCTCAAACAAAACAAAACCAAACCCCTGCATTTATTTGCTGATTTACTGATGTGCTGCTCAGAAGACAACTTGTGGGAAGATCCAATCAGGCTTGGCAGCAGCACCCGTACCCACCGTGCATGAGGCACCCTGATAGGCAGAATTAACTTCTCTAGAAAAGAGAACCTTATTTTTATTTTATGTGTATGGGAATTTTGTCTGCATTCTTGTCTAGGCATTGAATGTGCCTGGTACCTGCAAAGGTCAGAAGAGGGCATCGATCCCTGGCATTGAAGTTACAGACAGTTGTGAACTATCATGGAAGTGCTGGGAATCAAACCCAGGTCCTCTAGAAGAACAGTCAGTGCTCTTAACTGTTTAGCCATCTTTCCAGCCCCCAAAACTTTTAAGAAAATTAACTGGGGGGGGGGGGAGAATATGATCAAAATACATGGGAAAAAATTAATAATTTTTTAAAGCAACAACAAAAGAAAGAAAAAAAGAGATAGAAAACCAAATACAGCACTCTGGAGGCTGAGGTAGGAGGAGTACATGAGTTTGAGACCAACCCTGGCTACAGGTTGGGTTTCAGAACAGCCTGGGCTAAAAGAAAGACCCTGTCTCAAACAAACAAATAAGCAAAAATTCTGGACTCAAGACAGATGGAGCGGCTTATGCCAGCAATCCCAACACTTGGGAAGCCGAGGCAGAAGGATTACAGAGGTTTGAGGCTAACCTAGGTATAGGTACATAGTGAGTATCAGTCCAGCTTGAGCTATATGGTAAGACTCGGTCAAAGGGGACAGGACAGGATTCTGAAGTTAAAAACACACAAAAACTAACACAAGAAATATATTAAGTAGCTTAACAGCAGATCCGAACAGGAAGCAGTAAACCTGAAGACAGGTTTACTAAGGAACAGAAAGGATAAATGACAGGGAAAGACTTGGCTCTGAGAGACCTCTGGGACACCATCGAGCATACTAGCGTCAACAGAACAAACAACACTTGAAGGGATGATGCCTAAGGAGTCCACGAATGTGATGAAAAAGAAAGTACACACCAAGAGGGTGAGTGCATTCTAGTAAGGTACACTAAGAGCCATACTTAGGATGCATGATGATCAAAACATGTAAGACAAATTCCTAGCAGCCAAAGAAGCAAGTGAGCAAAGGCGGCGTCTCCCATTCCTCATGTCATTAGGTAATGTCAGCAGCCAGGAAACCCTGAGCCCTGTTCCTCCAGAACTTACAGAGCAGTGCTTCTTAGAGCATGAAGTCAAAACACTTTCAGCCAAAATCAATACAGAACCTCATTTTCTGTGTTTCAGTTTAAAGATACCTTATTTGGGCTGAGGTATAATTCAGTGATAGATTGTGTGTTTATCATGCACAAGGCCTTGTGGGTCAATTACTAGCACTAAAAACAAAACTCCAACTCTTAATAATATCCAGGAGATTAATGTGAAGTGCATTAATCACACTCCACAGGACTTTACCCTCATGACTAATTAGTTACTTGACTGTGTTTGCCTCTAAAAGCCATTATATTAGAAATTAGTTCCGGCACATAAATTTTGTGCGGAAATGAATATTTAGTCCAAAACTCTTGAACTCTTGTTTTTGGGCAGTTTTGTTCCAGTGCTTATAGCCTGAAGACAATGCCAAT